CTGCTTGGAAACAGGGACGTATTATTGTTGGTCTAAGTTTCTTGGAAAATTTCACAGCAGAGGTTTTGAAAAGCAATTAATATTCACAGAAAGATTACTGATTGAGATAGCTTTCACTGCACCGGCTTTTAAATAGCAGCATCTCTTATTAATACCATCACTCCTAATAAATGCAATTAAAATTGTTGACTAATGAAAATTTTAGTGATAATTTATATAATACAGAATTTATACTTGCAATTAGAGCTTTCTTGATTCTGCAACATGTTGTTCAGGGAGAGAGAGACTATCATCTCTGATTACGTGTCTGTCAGTTAGTAAGAAGAAAGCAATTTTTCAGAGTCTCCCTTGTTAACATCACCAAGAGACTTCTCAAGGCAGCAGCAGTCAGAGTTCTGAAGTGGTATTTTAAGTAAGTCACTTCAAAAGTCAACAGTGATAAAAACTTTTATATAAGCACTTGCACTGATGAATCCTCAACATTTGCCATTGTGTTGTGTTCAGCTACGAGAGGTGCGTCAAATATATTTATTACTGCAAGGACAAGGTTTTGGCAGTTCAGAATCTATGGCATTGTTCCTGTGAAGTTCAATTTCTCATGTTCTATGCTCCGGTTTCTAGTTTTCCACAGAGAGTGGGATGCAGCACTGATTTTGGAGCGAGTGCTTCTGTCACTGACATTTCTCCATGTTTGTGCTAATCCATACATGGAAACATCGTCTGTTGAATCACTCCTTTGCTCACACTGTCCTTCATGAAATTCTCGGGATCTGTGGGAATTTGGCATGGAGATGGGCAGCGCCAAATCGAGTCAGTCTATGCTGTAGCTATCAACTGGCATTGCAAGCACCTTGTCTTTTGTGGAGATATTGATGAAATTGTGACTTTGAGCAAGGCTTGGTTTGTTGGAGGAGCATTTACAGTAACATCTGCAAGTACTCTGCCTGTAGCTCTAATTCTGGTCCCAGGGCACCTGACCTGTGAGGAAAGGTGGAAGGATTTGTCCAGATATGAGATGATGAAGCCAAACTCTCCTTGTTATTGGCAGCCAATGTAACAAGGTTCAACCATGACAAGTCACAGGTAGGGAGGCTCAGCCTGAATACATTAAAAAAAACCTCAAACTTTTTTTCCAGGAGGTTAGTACAGCTCTACAACAGGGCACCTAGAGGGGCTGGGAGAGCTTCATTTCAGAGGTCAGCATTTTGGTAGACAAAGCCCTGGCTGGCCTGATCCAGCACTGGCTGTAGTCCTAAGTCTGAGCACAAGGCTGGACTAGACACCTCCAGAGGTTTCTTCCAACCATTGCTTCTGTAATGCTGTGAGTGCATCTTCAATGGATGTCCTGGGTCCGTGGCACCCACTCGAACAGCTTTACAGCTTCTTTCCCTCTGTCATTTACAGGCATTCCCACTGCTGGAAATGCCAACTCATTTCCCATAAGGACCCTCTTTTTCCTCCCCTAGTTCACTCTCTGTGTTGAAGTACGGCTTCTAACTAAATCCAGTCTATTAGAAAGACCAAGGTTTTCCACTGTTCTCAGCTTCTCATCCAGAAGCCTTTCCAGAGGGAAACCATGGTTTTCCTGCAGTTTGCAGAGCAGAGTGGCCTTCAGTGTCTTCTGCCTCATTTGCAGCAGCGTCGTATCCAAGGCAATCTGTCAGCACTTCTGTCAGGGCATTTGCATGACTTTCAAAGCCCTTTGGCAAGTGTGTGTTTTTTCAGTTGATCTGAATGAGGTGTGACACCAGCATTTTTCAAGGAGCTTTCTCAGTTGCTTTCCATACCGGAGCTGTATGGGATGTGAGCTGGAGCATTAATGGTGCGGAACACCTCTGCCCGTCAAGAAGCTTCTGCTTTGCTCTGGGTATGTCCTTCTGTTTCTATAGAAAATAGCTCATTCACTGTCTTTTATACTTCACTTATCTTTTCCACTTCATGTTCAACTACTTACAGCTTCTTATTATGTAAAACACTCTGAAGATGTTTGTTTCAGCGAGAATTTTGCTTGAAATTCAGAACCTTACAAGCTGTGCAATACGTTTTGCCACCACTTGTATGAAAGATAACTTAGATTCTTTACTTCTCTGCATAACATTTATTTGCTATTTTCTAGCGAAAAATCTAGCTACATTTTCATTGTAATTATCATTTATTTACTGCCTTGCTCAGCTGGTCTTTGGGCCATTCTTCAGGTACCTGTTTCTGCTACAGACTTGTGGCACCAAGAAGTTAGAGTGCATTGGGCAAATATAAATTGGAGTGGTTTGATTTTTGCATGTTTGTACAAAGAAAGCACCCACCCCTGTACAGTTTGCCCTGTGTTTGTTGAGGGGTGTGGCTCTGTGGTCCCCACGACCGCACGGTGAAGCCTCAGCGCTGTGATTTCCCAGGGTGTGTGCTCCAGCCTGTGCGGACAGAGAGGTGTATGCACGGGGGAACGGGGAGAGGAGAACAACTGCTTGTGTATAAAGCTGAAGAGAATGAATATTCCAACTGTGAAATCACTCTTAAAGCAGTTTTGGTGAGCACAGCAAGCCTGAGTTTAATTTTGGATACTGAGCACCCTGGATACAAAAGCACGTTTTTCCATCCGTTGTTGTGATTTTTGCTGCACAATTCTCTTTGTGTCTGTTGAAGCAGCAAGGAGACTGTTTGCAGACTTGCAGCTCACGGGAATGCCAGCCGTGTGCTCTCCCGTCAGATGTTAGCGATAATGATTAAGAAAGATCCATCACCAATTGCCCTGTTGATACGTTACCATCATCCAGATCCATGGTCTCTGGGGAGCCCAGTTGCAGCAAGGATTTGGAGAACCCTTCCCAGCAACTGGGAAATTTCTATACAGTGCATCCACTGCATAGATGAGGCTCCCAAATTTCCCTGCAAACGTTCACTGCTTTTATACAGTTAAATAAACAACTTTATATCTTAAACTGTGAAAAAACATTCAGTGTGGTTTTTTTTTTCCTTGTTAATTTTTTCTCGCGTTTGGCCAGGACCCAAAAAAAAGTTAAGAAGAAGTAAAGGTATCTGGTTATCTTGATTGTGTATCTCTCAGCAAAGCCCGTCACCAGCCTATTACGTTCTTTTACCTAGAGGTCTGTCTGTCGGTCTGAGATAGGTTTATCTCTTTTTGACAAAGGGGCCTTTGGTTACACAACAATTATCAGCAAGTGTTCCAGCAATGCTCTATAAGCGTTACAACAAAAGCTTTTATAAACTGGCATATATTCATAAGCTAATACATTGCCTGTGTGATCAATATTATACATATTAGATATGTTGTGAGGTTCCTCTAGAGGTCAACTTTGGTTCAGGGCCTCACTACTCCAGCCCCAGTATTTCGTCCTGTGACAATGTGCTGACAACAGAGTTGGGAAAAGCAGAATGGACGAAGTCTGATCCTGGAGGGTTTCTGGCTGTGGTTCCCGGGCTCCAGCTATGACCCTTATGGTGGAGCAAAACATGGAGCAATCAGTAATGGCAGAAAAATGGTTCAAAGGCATGTAGGATTGTTCTTCTGAAGACCTTCCTTGATTTTTTTTCTAGGCTCTCTCATCCATGGAGGAATTCAGAAACCTGGATCGAGACATTGAGGGGTCTGCAAAGCGGTGGAAGAAATTTGTTGAATCTGAGTGTCCTGAAAAGGAGAAGTTCCCCCAGGAATGGAAGAACAAGTCATCTCTGCAGCGCCTGTGCATACTGCGAGCCATCCGCCCCGACCGCATGACCTACGCGGTCAGGTAGGCAACCTGCCTCTTCCTACCTCTGTAATGCTCTCGCTTAGCAGGGAACTCTGGGTCTGTGTATCCTAAGGAAGAGAATATGTTTAGACTTCTTTATTATAGAATGTGAGTTCTGGAAGATGGTTTCCTGTAAGGGAGTCTGCTTACTGGGTCATCTCTGAACTCTGCAAGACAGTCAACACATCTCATTGAACTGGAATTTCTTGCTTAAGGAGATCCAACCCCAATATCATCGATAGTGATAGAAGCAGCGTAACTAGCACTGGGTGAGGATCAGACGTGCCAAGTCAGAAAGGAGCATCATCATACAGGTGTTACGCATCTGCTAGAGTCTTTTAATGATCAGTCTAACTTCTAGAGTTCATTAAAGTCAATATTAGTTACTAAATCCTTTAGAGCTGCTCCTTAGGCACAAGAATAAAGTGTAGACATGAAGTCTTATAGAGATATTCTCTTTTTTTTTTTTTTTTTTGTAAAATGCAAAATTTATGTGATGCTCATTCTGAAAGTTGTAGTTGTAAATTATGTAGTGAAGGTAACTAGGCGAATCTAAACTTTATGAAGGTATGCAAAAGCAATATGCTTGTTCCAGGAGAAACTAAAGGTCTTTCACTCCATTAGGACTTGTTTTTTCCTTCTCTGTCCTAGTAGTCTATGATCTGACATTTCTGCAATTCCTCTCGTGCCACTGCCTCTCCAATAGCTTATATTGCTCCACCATCTGGCATGTGCGTGTATATGGGTACATGTAGCAGATTGCATTACTCAGCGTATGAACTAGTTTTCTGTTTGTGCTTTAAAATTCACTGAAAAATGCAGACAAGTCTGAGTGAAGTCTTACTGTGGTCAATGTTATTATGTTTTATTAAATATTATAATTTCTCTGAATTACGCCATTCTGAACCATCTTCTTTTACATTTGTTACTCCTTTAAGGCTGGGTTCTCCATGTGTTCTCTCAGCAGAAAAAAAATGTTCCTGTTGTTATTTAGCTTGAGTAAAACAAGCTCTTGTCTTTCTGAGCTGTTAAGTGCATATTTAATTTAAGCAAGTTTAACTTATTCCTTTCAATCAAAACGGCAATACTCATATAGTTCGAAAATAACTAGAACATAAAGTTTCAATACCTCAATTCATTTCATATTCCTCTTTTGTGAAAAGCTCAGGGAATCCAAGTTCAAAAGCTTGGCTGGATATTTTTAGGGTCTGGGCATGTCAAGCTTTTCTGTTTGCACAAGAGTATTTAAATGTCTTTTGTTCCTTATCTAGAAGTAGGTTAAAATGTAAACATGTGCAAAGAATAACAGTTCACAGCGCCTTCTGCAAGACTTTGTTTGTAGATGTTTGTGACTAAAATTCGACTTGAAATATAGGATAGACAGAAACTCTGCCCAAAAGGCATAAGAAGAGATTTGTTTAGGGAAAAAGCAAATGTGAAAATGGTAGTGGTAAGAATGACAGGCAAAATGCCTTTGACTTCCTGATTCCTCCTTGATAGTGCCATACTGCTCAAATACAGCCACCACACAGAAGGCTAGTGGTCACCCGGTGTCTCATTTTCCTAAGCACCTTCAAAGCTGTGTTGCATCTGTGACCCTTCAAAAAGCAGGAGATCCTGTGGAGCGCTGGGGAGCTGCATACTTCAGCCTCAGCATCCCTGGTTTGGCCAGCAGTGTTTCAAGATCATGTGCATCTTAACAACTTCACCAGGTTTTGGATATCTGCAATGTCATTGAATCCCACATGTTGTTTTCCAGTTCTCAACTTGCAGATCTCTTTCTTCTGTCTGTCGGTTAAATCTGCTAACACTAAATACCTTACGGCTGATCAACGGGTGTCACTGCAAGTATGGTCCCAACCTTCCTGGCTCTCTGAGAGTCTGGGCAAGCAACTTGAGTGCGTTTAAGGAGTCAAAGAGTAGTTCGGGAGCCTACCTATAGGAGACTAGGAGTATTTTAGAGGCCCTAGAGTGTCCCTACCCCATCTCTAGCTGCTGTTCAGAAAGCTGTAAGACCCTTTATGTCCCATGTCATATATGCCGGCTCCATGCAGATGGTCTAGGAAGCTCTTTAGCATCTAAAAATGACATGGATACCATGCTCACTCCACCGCTGTACAGGCTTCTTACATGTCCCTGTCCTGGAAGTTTGGTTTTTCAGCCACTCTCCATAGCAGATCCCTGGGCATATTTGCACAGGCTGTTTTATTGCCCAGGCCTAGGGAGCTGTCAGGAGAAATCACTCTTACCCTGGCTCACTCCTTAGAGCTTAGGTAAGGGCAGTGCTCTACTGTCCGTCACCAAGAGTCATTTCCTCAGGAGGGATTTTCCAGTGCAAATACCTATTTCATCCTTCAACCCTATCGAAGAACATCAGCAAGGAGCTTCTTGCAACACCTTGTGCTCCCATGCTTCACACCCACCATGAGATCAGATCGGTCCAGCATCTAACAACCTAAGTTGTTCATGGTGAAATCCTCCCGAAAGCACTGGTACTTCTGCCGTGAGGGCAGATCCTTGAAACAATGCAGAAGGACTTAGAAGGACTCTTCAGATAAAGGATCTGTGGCTTCATATAAGCTAGCAAAGCTGTAAGCCAGTCATTTCTCTCGCAGGGAGTTTTTGCTTTTTGTTCTGGCACCATTTCTCAAATGTTGCTGCTTGTGCTGTGAACCACCCAGATGAACACCTCATGTGAAAGACACCAAGTGTAGGCACGTTTCCAGCCTTGGCTCCGAGGGCAGGCCTGCCTTCCCTGCACGTGTGGTTCATTGCAAAGTCTCCAAGTCCCATTAGTTGTGTTTCTGAATCTCCAAGGCATCATCTCACAGAGCTGAGACTTGATGTAAAACAAGAATGTTGTGACCTTGGATCTGAGGGACTTTTTTTCATTTTGTGGACTGAAGCTTTCCAGCAGCTCTTTAGCAAATCTTGACCCAGAACAGAAAAAGCTACTTGAAAGAGGAACCAAGCAAAGTGGCAGCTTTTTCTTTTGCAATCCCTTAGGCATTTCTATTCCAACTGCCTTTCACTAGTCCTTGAAGGAGACTCTCAGCTCTCTTACAAAGGATTTGGCTGCCTTATTCGGGTATCATCTACCAGGTCAAACCTGGCTGATGTTTTTCTTCCCCGTGTTACTGAGGTTTTCAAAAGGACTGAGTCATGCATCTGTGCTAGAAGAGCAGCTGCTCGTTCCTGGGGTTTGAATACAACATTCCTACCTTTGAATCGATGTTCACAGCATCCTCTTTTTCTAAAGCTGTGATTTTGGTAAGCTCGCCCTGGGGAGATTCAGCCTGGCCATTCTCCATGCACTGTGCTCTCTTCAGGCGGATGCTGTGGACCTGAATTTTTTCCTGTTCACTTCGTTGTATTTTTCCTTGTGACTCCTATGCGCAGGCCAAGCTACACGTGTTAGATATTCTTAGAGCTCTTTTATCTTTCCAGAACAAAGTCATTTTGTAAATCATCTGGACTTTTTGTGACTTTTGGGGATAAATCTAAAGGAATGCTAATTCCTCTCTGAGGCTGTATGGATTACAGAGCACGCGACAGTTTTCTCTACATTAACTATTTCCTCTCTCCTGAAATACCATTTGTCAGAATCAAGCCCCTATCCGTACTGAACTTCTGAATACAGCCTTAGGCTGGTAAGTGCCCCTGTTTTCCCTTCTCACCTCCTTTTTTTTTTTTTTGTCAGATATTGGTGTGCCATGTGTCATTTTACCCTGTAAAAACTGCCAACCATTGCTACTGAGCGTTCGCTCCAGCCCAGCCTGCCGTTCCTTTCAAAAATCATTTCATGCACTTTTTTGTTGTTGTTAAGTTTTTAATGCATTTGAATCAGCAAAATCGAAACTAATCAATTGATTATTTGCAGGAGAATCAGTCTTTTCTGAATAATAGTAGACTGGCAAAACTTTTTTCTTTCTGGCAGAGATTTTGTAGAAGAAAAGCTTGGCAGTAAATATGTGGTAGGGAGATCCCTGGATTTTGCAACAACCTTTGAGGAATCAGGACCTGCAACCCCAGTGTTTTTTATCCTGTCCCCAGGAGTCGACCCACTGAAGGATGTGGAGAAACAAGGTAAATAAATTATGTCTGTAGGCATAGCACAGCATTGCTTCTTATCTTCTGCATAATTATCTTGGCATGACGTTCTTGTTCTGTTTTTTTTTTTTTTTTCCCTCATCTCTTTGTAGATAATGGAGTAATCTGTTAAAAATAGATAATTGTGAGAGGATGTGATTGTTTCTTTTTTTCTATTTCTTTTTTTTCTTAAAGGGTTTTGGATTTTCATCTGAAGTTTAAATTAAACTTTTCTCTTTCCTGCATTGCCTGGATTCCCAGTGTGGTTCACACTGCAGTGATTTCTGAGTTGGTTTTGTACACAACCTATAATTTACGTCAGACATATCTAATATGCTGTCAGATAGCTAAAAGTAAGCAACAGCTCCCTATAACATCCTGCTGGCCAGTGGCAGAGTTTCCAGTTTTTAATCCCATCCTACATTTCGGTGTGGATGGTCAGACGTAGTGCTGTTGGCCAGCTTCAAAGCCCAGGGGGTTTCTCTAAGGTGCCTTGTTTGAGCAGGGAGGGATGTCTGTTGTGCATCCATCTCTGTGGCCTCCTTGGGACTCGCTCCAAGTGGTCTGTGTCCTTTTTATGTTGGGGGCCCCACAGCTGAACACAACACTGCAGGTATCATCAGCCAAGCTGGCAGCGACAGCAGAGAAACCAGTAACGCTGAACTAACTCATCATACAGGCGAGTGGCAGAAGAATGCTGACCTGTGGATTTCTTTTTGTCTCTGTGATGCACCTTCTGGGTCATCCCCAAATCATTTTGATTCAGTCTTTACCTACATTCCCACAAGCACCTCTCAGAGATGTGAAAGCCCAGTGCAGCCTGAGCCACAGGCCAGATGGCAGTTCTCAGTCGTGGGCAGTTCCTGGACTTTTCATTGTGTTTTGTGCTCTTTCTGCCCTGATACCAGATCTCTTTATTGTGAATTGAAGGGGAACCCCCTGAGGAAGGTCCTATCATCTGCCAGGCTTCCCATTGGAGCCATGTTGGTGATCCTGTCTCTTACTGTGTTAGCTTGTTGCATAGGAAATAGAAGCACTAAAATCCAACCATGAATGGTTTGATTGGAACCGTAAAGACATTTGTAGCTGAGCACCTGCGGTTAGTCAGACAGAAAAGTTACAGCAAGTAAGGTGAAAAAAATCTAATGAAATAAAACCATTGCTTTCATGCATCTGCGCTGGCCTTAAAGCCTGCCTCAGTGGGGTTTGGATCAGATTAATTATTCAATATTTCCTCTACCCTTCATTAGGCTTTATTAAAGTGCAAGTCTGGCTAGATAATTCTTGTGAATGGAAGAGAGCTTCTTCCAGATGCTGCCCACTCATGGGATCCTTCCTATGGGGAGGACCCTGCAGCATAGGACCCTGCAGCAAACACTCTTGGGCTCAGAAAGCTTCCCCACCTCCCTGCTACTCACAGCTTACCTCCACTGGCCCCTCTGCTCTCCAAGCCAGCGAAGAGGAAGGCTGGCATCATCTTTGGTGAGGCAGCCAGCACAGACTCACTGTCTGTCCCTCTGCAGTCCTGTTCCTACTTTTGAAGTGGAAATAACAACTATGTGAATTTTAATGTTACTCACCTGGTTTGGAGTAGCGCCCTGCCTTCTGCAAATTTGCCCCATCCCCTCTTGAGAGGATGGGTCTTGAAGGCAGAGGAGGAGCTGAGCAGCTCTCAAAGTTGGCAGCCACCAGAGATGGTGAGAAATAAAACTAGAAACTCTCAAATATGGGGAGAGCTGTGTCCCAGGGTGTTGCTGTAGTGAGGCTGAACAGAGAGTCCGGGCAACTGGAAGGCTTTGGATGTTTGTTTTCCTTATGACCATCTGTTTCCAGTCTTGTACCATGAGCTGAATCCTAAGTCTTGCAAGACAAATCTTTTCCTTGTTTTATTACAAAACTTGCCTGCTTTTAGTAGAAATTGAGAATTAAGGGTGCGCCATCTGCATGAAGGCAAATCTGCATGCAGAGATAAATGTAGGCAATCCCAAGGGATCAGCATGTGGGGATACGGGTCCTGGCTGAGCCAAATGCATCCTGCTCCCATGAGTGCAGCCAGCGTGGATGTTTGTTGGGCTGCTTCCCTCCAGCAGCCCAAATTGGTGCTCGTCTTCTGAGGAGCACACAGCAGCGCTGGTTTGCTCCAGGCAGTTGCTTCTCTTGGGAGACAAGAAGCAACCAGTATCCTCCATCTTTGATTGAAAGACAGATTTGGAAAACTAAACAGGAGATCTTTAGCTATGATCACTTAAAGGATCTGAGGCACTGGGATGCTACAGAGAAATCAGGGGAGTCCAAATGACTATCATGGACTAAATGAAGAAACACTAAATAGCTGCCATCCTTCCTCCAGAGCAGGATAATAAATGACAAGAGTTTTGGAGTTCCCACCCTGCATTGTGCAGAAGGGGATGCAGAAGGGACCGGAGGAGGAGGTCCGCAGTGATTCCTGGAGCACCCCTTCCCACGGGCTCACTGCAGCCCACTGCCCATGAGTCATCCCATACACATTGTGGTGCACCCAGGGGCATCTCCACACCTCCCAAAGCCCATGATGATCCACGGGAAATCTGGAGGGCTGACTGATCTCCAGATCCAAGAAACATGGGAGGCCTTGGTCGAGGCCACAGGAAGCTCACACAGATTTCATTTCAGCTGCCTTCTCGAAAGGGAATGGGTTCCTAACCTTACTGCTGGTTCTAGAATGCATCGCAGGGTGTGTTTCCCCATCAAATGATGTCTTGTTCAAAACCTATTTATATGTTTATACACAAGGTTGCAGGGGAACAATGTTCTTTAAACAAGAGGCACTTTGTAATAATGTACCTTTGTGTCGATGCTGCTCTGTAATTAAAAGTAGTTTGGAAGAAACCACTGCAGTGCTTTGGCAAGGAGTGTGTGAGAGACAAGATAACTCTTATAAGAAGTGTGATAGCTCTTCCATGAGGGTTTTTGATAAGACTGAACTCCACCTCGCTGCTGCTGCAGGAGCTCAGCTGTGCTGCGTGTCATTTCGGGTAAAAGTGCTGAACATTGCTCTTTTTTTTTTTTTTTTTTTTTTTTTTTCTTTTAGGGAAGAAACTTGGTTATACATTTAACAACAGGAATTTCCACAATGTTTCCCTTGGACAAGGTCAAGAGGTGGTTGCTGAACAAGCTCTAGATTTGGCTGCAAAGGAGGGTCACTGGGTCATCCTTCAGGTACGGTGTCTTTGGGAACATCCTGCCATTCTCCTGGGTTACCTGGTGCTGATCCAATCCCTGAGGGCACCCTGTCGTTCTTATCTGGTGGGACATGGGACAAGGTATCATCTGTGGGTCCAAAGCAGCCACTTTCTAACTGTTTCTTGCTGCTCTCTGTTGCTTTTATTGGGCATTGCTGGCTTGGTGTTCTTGATCTTTGAGCCTTCTGGAGGGTGTGTGGTTGTAGGGAGTCCTCTGAGGGCAGGTTGTGCTACACTTGCCTGGGCTTCTAGTTGCTTCATGAATAAATCAAGAGCTTTGTTCTTAAAAGTTGTTAGACTAGTTCTCTTACTACCACTCTGAACTCACCATGTATTTAAATGAGCGATGAGAACGTGCACAGCACCGGAGGAACAGCAGAGGCTCTCTGCAGCGGTGCCTTTATGCATCCTAAAACAGGTAAGTGTTTGAAGGTCTCATCACAACTTGGCAAAATGTTTCGGAGCCTTTGAGGGTGCAAAGGGAGCTCTTTGTCAAGCACTCTCTGGAGAGCACTCTGTTATTCAGTGAGTGCTTGGGATTGCTAATATGCAGAGTCAGTGATGTCAGCTCTCATTACAGGTTTTGGGAACCCCTCTGATTTCTTTGATGTGGATTTTATGAATGTTTATTATCACCAAATTGTTTAGATAAGAATTAGATTAAGACAAAGCTTTGAGTGCTGATCTGAGCCTACAGGCCTGGTTTGGGATTTAAATAAAATGCCACTGATATTTTAATCTTAATTTTTGCTTTTTTTGCAAGCTCCCTCTAAGACAGACAATGCTGAGCTTTTCAAGAGCTTTTAATACAGAATACTGGCATCTGCCTTTGAGATGGTGAAGAAGAAAATATGCTGCTTTTTGACACATGTTCCACTCAGTAAGGCAAAGTGAAGGGTTTGTTTCTACAAAGGTCCTTAGATCCTGTGAAGGATCTATCTGCTAGCAATGTCAGCTTCCATGTCTATTGCGAGTCCAGCACATGAGTAGAGTGGGCCCTGAAGTGTTTTCATTTTGTCCATTCACATCTTCTCTGGTGGTCAGATCAATCAGTGAGAGGTCTCAGCAGACACGGAAGGTTAAATCAGGAAAGCTGCAGAAGTTACATTTATATGAAGGAATGATCTTGCTGGTTGGGCTAACAGGTTCTCCAGCAACATCTGCCAAGTGTGACTATCTCTGGTGACACAGAGCAGACAGGTTCCCCTGGGAGCTTAGAGAAGAGCTTAGTTCAGCTGGCTGCTAGCAGGTTTGGATGCAGACCGCATGGGGCAAACTCAACGGTCACAGCGGTGGCCATTAGGACAGGCTGCCCAGGGCCAGTGTTGGGTCTCCTCAGGGCCAGTCAGTCATCTGGGATTTTCTCTGGTGTAGTCAAAGAACTGATAAAACTTTGTACACATACATATTCTAGTTCTGTATTGTGCTTGGTTAGGAATAAAGCAATATAGGCAAGACTGATTCAACACACAGAGATCAGAGCTCTCTCTTCCTATGATTTTTGTCATAGTTTTGACCCTGGCTGGCAGCTAAACACCACGACAGCTGCTCACTCACTGTCCCCTCTCCTGGGGATGGGGAGAGAATTAAAGGGGTGAAGGGAAAAGAGACTCATGGGTTGAGATAAGAACAATTTAATAACTAAACTAGAGTAATATTGGAAATAATAATGATGAAAATAGTAATAAAGGAGTTGTTGTGGTGGGTGCCGGGGTTGGAAGAGAGAGCACTTCTGGACAGAGCCTCATTTATATAGGGGTATGCTGTGCATGATATGGAACAGACCATTGGCCAGTTTGGGTCTCAGTCCTAAACCTAAGGTGGAATCCTGGGCTGGTCACTGGGGCTGTGCTCCCTCCCAGCTCCTCCTGCCCCTGCAGACACAGGCACAGCAGAGAAGTCCTTGACTGTCCTGGCAGCAACTCTAAACATCAGTATGTTTCCATCCGCCTTCTCAGCACGAATCCCAAACAAATGCTCTTACTAGCTACTATGAAGAAAGTTAACTCCATCCCAGCCAAAACCAGGACATTTTTATAGTCATAGACCTTCTGAGCAATCCAGGCAGTGAGGAACCCACTAGGAGCTGGAGTTGTGTTTTGGTGGCACTTCACTTTCGGGACAGACTTGGAAACATCCAGAAGGTGTTTGAGGCAGTCAGGACTGTTTCTTTCCAGTTTCTACACTTGGTGTCTCAGTTAGGCACATGAACTGATAACAAAGCAATGAAACTTAATTGTCACCCAGACTGGCCAAGCTGCTCAGCTCCAGAGCCCATCTCTGTATCTCACTTTGTGTTCCCACCACCTTCCAAGGGCTGGAGTTTCATGTAAAGTGAGAAACAGGGAGAGGAGCCTGAGTGAGGGGCTTGACATGTGTCCCCTGCATTGGCAGACAAGGCCCCCCTAGCCAAACAAAACTCTACTACGGTCAGCAGACATCCACCTGAACTGTAGGTAAATGTATCAAATGTTATAAGAATTTGCTACAGATGGATCAGGTCAATTTGATACTTTGCACTGTGAAGGTGACTGAAGTTTTAAAGGAAATACAACAGCTCTGATTGATGTGAACTGTAGTAGAGCTGCAGAGATGATGCCACCCAGGAATGTATTAGGGAAGCTGCAGAAGTTGAATGTTGCTAGCAGAACTCTTGAGCAGTGGTCATGGGGCCAGGCTTACTTTAGACGTGACGTTGGCTTAAGAAAAAACCTGACCCTGCTTTGAGCAGAGGGTGAGGACTAGATGGTCCCCTGAGGTGTCTCCAGCCTCAGCGATTCTGTGGTCACTGCTTTCCCACTGCCAAGTTAGCCATGAGTGTGGTTTCTCAGATGCGTGTCATCTCCCTTGTGTAGGAAGGAGGGAGCTTTGCATCAGAGAGCACTAAGCCATCACCTGTAGCATAAACTGTGTCTGCTCAGTTTCCCTCTCTGGATCTACTTGAAATTTTTTTGTTAAGACAGTGACCACCACAATCACCAAATAGTGTTTATCAGCCTGATAGCAAAGAAACAGTGAAATTTGTTCACATATTTACAGATGCACATCTGAATGAACCGATGCAAGGAGAAGTTCAGACATTAGATATTCCCAATTTAATTATAGTCTTCATCCATTAGCCAAAATGTCACTTCCTTCTCTTTGCGATCAAGTTAATTTAATTCTTGAGTATCTTTCCATTTTCATAGGTTGTTGCTTCACTGAGTCAGGTTCATGTACTAAATTGAATAAGAGTGAGCTCCTAGAGCAAAACTGTATGGGATTCAGACATTGGCAGAGGCCTTCTTATTGCATCGTAAATACAATGGAGCCCTTTTCTGTGCACTTCACAACTAGTCCTAGCTACAAGCAAAAGGGAAATATTGTCCTGTATTAGATCATAGAATCATAGAATGGTTTGGGTTGGAAAGGACCTTAAAGATCATCAAGTTCCACCCCGCCTGCCATGGGCAGGGACACCTCCCACCAGCCCAGGTTGCCCAAAGCCTCATCCAGCCTGGCCTTGAACCCCTCCAGGGATGGGGCATCCACAGCTTCTCTGGGCAACCTGGGCCACTGCCTCACCACCCACACAATGAAAAATTTCTTCCTAATGTCTAGTCTAAATTTACCCTCTTTTAGTTTATACCCATTAACCCTTGTCCTCTCACTACCCCCCCTGATAAAGAGTGCCTCCCCATCTCTCCTGTAGCCCCCTTCAGGTACTGGTAGGCTGCTATTAAGTCTCCTTGGAGCCTTCTCTTCTCCAGGCTGAACAACCCCAACTCTTTCAGCCTGTCCTCATAGGGGAGGTGCTCCAGCCTCTGACCATCTCCGTGGCGTCCTCTGGACTCTCTCCAGCAGGTCCAGGTCTTTTGTATGTTGGGGGCCCCACAGCTGAACACAGTACTTGAGGTGGGGTCTCACGAGAGCAGAGTAGAGAGATATATTGTCCGTTCAAGGCACACATAAGCATTTGTCCCTAAGCCTTTGTTTCAATAGAGACCAATTTTCCTTCCAGCCACAGTATCTTTTCATTCCTAGATATATCTAAAAGGAGAAATATCTACTCTACTTCCAGTTCTCCTTCCTGATTTTTGGACAAACACTTTGATGGAGTAAGCTATTGGATTTCAGACAGCTGTTTTCCTTCCTGCCTCATGTCACAACAGCCATTCCCATGTTTTTCCAATTGCAGACCAGCAAGTAATCCAGATATTGATCTAGGATGGAATTAAGTTTCTGTTGGGCTTTCAATACCTTTGTAATTACTGCAGTCCCAGTTTTGTTGTACAACTGCTCTGGAAACCTCTGTCTCAGGACATATTTTGGGTTAAAACAGAAATGTAATGGAGTCCTCATGAAAATAAAGTTTCTTTTCCTCCATTTCTTGAGATTAATCAAGCAATTGTCCTTTGCTGTACAGTTCCCCTGCTCATCACTACCTACCTTTACATCTTCATATCTTAGGAAGTGAAATTTGGTAAGCTCCAACATTGTCTCTAAAACTTTGGGGAGTTCAGCTCAGTCGAGATTTTCTGCAGTTCACGTTTGTTTGCTCTCTGGCCTGGCAAATCCCAGCAGTTCCCACACCACTAATGGCTGCATTTGGGCTGAGGTCCGGATCTCAACACTAGACTGAGGGGTTCAAGCAGAGGATGAAGCACTGGATTGATTGGAGAAGAGATGAGGATGAACTCGAATGCCTTCCTAACCCTTAAATTGTGTCAGATTCTGTATGAATACAAGTGGATCCATATGATGCCTGTTTTTTCTGTTGTCTTATCTGATCAAAAGAAAGAAGAGGCCAGAGAGAGACCCAAGCTAGCAGTTGCCATTGCAGAAATTGTTTCAATGTGCCTCTTCAGAAGAGGCAATATCCTGCGGTCACTCTTCCCTGAATGCCTTCTCCTGTCTGGTCATGGGCTGCTCAGTCCAGCTGACCTTCTGTTTCTCCAGGGTCCTACCAGCCTCTCATTAGACCCTCATCATGCTCTA